TTAGAAAAGCAGTCTTTACATCCATTTGGTAAACATCCAGGTTTTGTAAGGATGCAAATGCGATAATCATTCTGATAGAATCTATCCTAGTCACAGGCGCGTAAGTATCAAAGTAGTCATAGCCCTCACGTTGGCTATACCCCTTGATCACAAGTCTAGCTTTGTACTTGTCAATGGAGCCGTCAGGCTTCATGTAACGCCCCAAAACATACCCTATAATTATTAATGAAAAAAATAATCAATTAATCAAATTTGTGTTGATTAAAATAAATTATTGTTGGGCTTTGGGCCGATATGAAATGTGTTTTGACATACAATATCAAAATCTGGATAAGTCTCATAGAGATAAATCCAATATGTAGACTATTTGTGTGGTCTTGATTGGGAACCTAAGTACAGACCCAAATCAAGAGTAAATAAAAAATTTGTTAAGAATGTATATATTGAAATGATTTGTTAAAATAAATCATGAGAATAATTGATATGAATTAAATGAGAAAACCTTTTATGAGAAAGGTTAATTAAACCAATTTTGACTCTGTCAAAGTCAACCACCCAAAAATATGATGTCGGAAAAAGTGTTACAAATAAATATAAAAATTATATTTATGGATAGAGTTTAACTGTCTGATTGCAACGGTGCAAACAGATTTCAATTTGGAGAAAGTTGGACCAAAAAGTGTACCCCGACTGGAACCAAAATTGGTCCCAATCAGGGAATTACGTATCAAATTTTGGAGATCACCGCTGAATCCACACAATCGATCGTGAGTCACAAATGACTCAGCACCAATTGGCTACTTCCTTCTCCAAATGCTATAAATGGGCACCCTCACTTATCTCAACTCTGCACAAAACTTCCTGAAATTAGTACCATAAGAATCTAGAGAGTGAGGGGAGTAATTTGATAGTATTAATTGCCGTCGAGGTCGCCGGAGCAAGCCGTGGTGTTTGCCGGAAGTTTCGTCGTCCAATCACCGGAATCATCGTTTAGCTCCGAGGTAAGCCCGTAGATATATCTAGTGACTAGAATGTTCGTATAGATCGTTTCTACGTTCATAAACGGTTGTTTGGTTGAGTTTTGTGTTTGACATGTTTGAAGAACCAAGAATCATAAATCATGAAATTGTTGTTAAAATTACGAATTAATGATTCTAAAATGATCTGTGAACGTTGGAGAACATTTTTATATAATTAAATTGAAGTTTGGTGATTAAAAATGACAATGTTAAAACTGACCCGAGGAAGAAGATAATGAACAGTGGCCGAAAATCGATTATTTACTTACTAAAAATCGATTAGAATTTTATTCAGATCAGTGGTTCGAAGTCAGTACCATTTAATCGATTATTTATGTTGTAAAAATCGATTATTATGAATTAATTGATTATTTATATTGTAAAAATCGATTATTATGAATTAATTGATTATTTATATTGTAAAAATCGATTATTATGAATTAATTGATTATTTAAATTATAAAAATTGATTATTATGAATTAATTGATTATTTAAATTGTAAAAATCGATTATTATGAATTAATGGATTATTTAAATTGAAAAAATCGATTTTTTATAAATCAATCGATTATTTATATTGTAAAAATCGATTAAAATTAATTAATTGATTATTTAAATTGTAAAAATCGATTATTATGAATTAATTGATTATTTAAATTGTAAAAATCGATTATAATGAATTAATTGATTATTTAAATTTGTAAAAATCAATTATTATGAATTAATGGATTATTTAAAATTATATAAATAAATTTTTATAAATTAAATGATTATTTTAAATTATTTTCCTCAATTACAGATCCTGCTACGAAAATATATTCCTGAAAATATGCTCTAAAATCTAATTTTTGATAACAATTAATTATGAACAATACAAATATGATTTTGTATAATAAAAATGATGTTTTAGGCATATAAAACATTATGTGATGCATGACGGTAAGTTAGAGTGTTAACACTCAAAACTAGACTGCTATTTGTTATCAATTGTTGATTAATGATTATGATGAATGATTATTATGGATGATCATGAATAATGTACTAACTGATCAAAATGATTATTGATGATTCAGCCATGAGAGTAATGAATATATTGATAATTTTTAAACGATTTGTATTGTTAAACGGTATCTAGAAGAACTCTAAGATATACCTATTAGTTAATTGATGTTAAGGCTATCTAGAATAACTCTATAATAGATCTTCTATTAGAACATGCTTATGAAAACATGAACATTTGATGAATTAGATAAAACGCATAAATGGGATTCATAGACCAAACTAGAGGATCACTCGTTTGAGAATGTCTGATCTAATGTTGACCAATCGCTATATTGTTGTTGCCTTAACTGACTACAGTTAAGTGTCCGAATCATTTGCCTTAAACTAGTGATAGTTTAAGTGTCTGATTGCCTTAACTGACTGCAGTTAAGTGTCCGAAATCAATTGCCTTAAACTAATGATAGTTTAAGTGTCTGATTAATGATTGCCTTTTAAGAATCTGGTTATAGAAATTATGATCTAGCCTTAGACTAAGAATAGCTAAGAGCATTGTTATAATCTGGCCTTAGATTAAGAATAATTTAAAAGCACTATTGAAATAGTATCTGAATTGAATAAAATGTATTGATATGAACTGAACAATACCAAAACTGTGAATGTCTGAAATGAACATTGTGTGCATGATATCAAATGATTTGATTATGAATTTAGATTCAGTTTATATGGATGTTCGACGCATTAGATATGCTTACTCAGCTTTACCGCTGAGCGTGTAGTGTGTTTTATTTGCTACACGCAGGTAAGCAGAAAGCAGAATGTGATCCTGGCGGCAGATGGGGCGAGATTGTCGGGATGGATGTGACAAGTTTTGAAACAATTTATGATATGTCAATATTAAAATCGCTTCCGCAATATCGTTGAATACTCCGTATTGTATATGTATTGAAAAATATTATTGGAATATAAAGTGTGTTTGAAAAGTTTTAAATTTTTACGATTACCAAGTTAAATACTTTAGTCCGAATGGGGCTGCAGACCTGGACGGATTAGGGTGTTACACTTCATTTTCCTCCGAAAGACCCATTCAGAACCTAATGGTTTACACCCCAGAGGGAGATCAACCAATTCCCACGTGTGATTCTAAAGAATAGAATCAACTTCACTTTTTATGGCTTCTCGCCACTAAGGTCCCTCAGTTGAGGTTACGGCCTCGTGATAGGTTCGTGGTTCTTTTTCTACCAAACAGGTTAGAATATCGGGTTCATTTTTCATTAGAAATGACAAAGTTCCTTTATCAAATTCTATCAGATATGTTATGAAGTCAGAACCGAACGTCTTTTTAGTTCGAATTCTTTTACTTCGTCTCAATTCAGTCTCATGTTCGACTTCATCATCGTCACCGGAACTCAACTGATTTGGATCATCGTTATTCTTCATCTCAGAATGAGAACGCTTGGACGAACTAGCTTTGTCACTTGACTTGCACGGAAAAATGTGCTCGAAAAACGTTGCATTGCGTGACTCAATATTTGTGTTCTTGTGAATTTCAGGATTATCTGATTTATACAGCAAGAACCGGTATGACGTACTACTATACCCGATGAAGATTCCATCAACTGTTTTTGGACCGATCTTCATCTTCTTCGGTGGTGGTGCAAGTACCTTCGCGAGACACCCCCACACTTTGAGATACTTATATGAAGGCTTCCTATTATGCCAAAGTTCATACGGAGTTTTGTCAAGTTTCTTACGAGTTACTTGATAAAACAGCCTCCCCCCACATGTTCTGGGGTAATCCAGAACTAAGCAGCATCGCATTCATCATGTCTTTTAGAGTGCAATTTTTGCGCTCCGCTACTCCGTTAGACTGTGGTGTATACGGTGGGGTTACTTGATGCACAATTCCATGTTGTGCACAAAACTCATTAAGTGGAGCATCATACTCACTACCTCTATCGCTTCTCAATGCTTTTATCTTGCGATTGAGTTGATTTTCGACTTCATTCTTATATCGAACGAAAGTGTCTAACACTTCATCTTTACCTTTTAGTAAATAGATATAGCTATATTTCGTGCTATCATCGAAGAAGGTAATAAAATACTTATTACCTCCTCTTGAAGGCGTTGTTCGAAAATCACACAATTCGGTGTGAACCAACTCTAGAGATTGAGTGTTCCGTTCGATAGTTTGAAACGAACTTCGAGTTGACTTAGCCTCAACACAAGTTTCGCACTTGTGGGTTAAGTCAATACTAAACTTAGGTATGTGTTCCATGTTAATTAATTTTCGGAGAGATGCATAATTAACATGTCCTAGTCTACCATGCCATAAACTAGAAGACTCACACACATAAGCAACTAGATTTTTATTAATCTTTTCATGAACAGTCATTACATTTAGATTTATAAGCCCATCGGAAATATAACCTTTTCCGATAAAAATCCCTTTCTTGGATAAGATTAGCTTATCTAATTCAAATACCATCCGAAAGCCGTGTTTGTCAGCAATGACCCCGACACTAAATTCTTACGAATGTCTGGCACATAGAGCACGTCGTTAAGCGTTAGCTCCTTACCGGAAGTCATTTTTAGCTTAATCTTTCCAACCCCTTGAACCTCTGATTGGGCCGAGTTGCCCATCAAGACTTTGTCACCGGAGGTCTCTTGAAATTCGTGAAACATGCTCCAGTTGGAGCAAATATGACGTGTGGCTCCTGTGTCCACAAACCATTCCCTCGGGTTTGACCCGACGAGATTCACCTCAGTGACGACTGCGCAGAGTTCCAAGTTGTCGAACTCTGTGCACATGGCTTCGGTGGTTTTCTTCTTGTTCTTATGTGGCTTCTTCTTCCTATAATCGGAGGAACGATGCCCAGTAATGCCACAATTGTAGCACTTTCCTACAAATTTAGAAACTCCACCTTTAGGACCTATCTTCTTTTTGTCCTTCCCGCCATGTGAAGAGCCCAATAGATGTTCTACCACATTCGCCTTTGCCCCTCCACTTCTTCTTGCAAGCTCTTCCTCTCGGATCCTCAACCGCGTGAGCAATTGCTCCAAGTTCAGCTATGTTCTTTTGAGCTTGAGGTCGGCTTGGAAATCTTCCCACGACCTAAGAAGTTTGTAAATGATGGCCGCCACTTGGAAGGCCTCGCTGACGCCTACTTTTTCTTCATTGCACTTGTTGAAGATAAGCATAAGCTTCTCAGCCTGGGCGACAATAGATTTGCTGTCGACCATCTTGTAGTCCAGCATCTTCCCAACGATGAACTTCTTTGTGCCGGCATCTTTAGCTTGAAACTTTTTGTTCAAGCTATTCCAAAGCTCCTTGGCAAGCGTTGCACCGGCATAGACGGGGTACAGTGAATCTCCCAACCCCTCTAAGATAATGTTGATGGCGAGATAGTTGTTGTGGTACCATGCTTGGTTCACCATCGCCACGAGGGGGTTGTTGGCTTCATTGGGCTGGGGGAATCTTGCTACAGTTACTCAACAAATCCCAAGACGGTCATGAAGAACGTCATATTTTGTTGCCACATTTTAAAGTTCGTCCCATTGAACTTCGGTGGCCTTTGAACCGAATTAGCGGGCACCAAAATCGGCCCAGTAGTCGCCCAATGGGGTCCAACGAATGGATTGACTAGTGTGGGGAAACCTGCGTTCGGTCCAAAGTTGACCGTTGAGGCCGAAGCCATAGTCGGTCTGAGAAACGGGTTCGAATTATCGACAGGGCGATCCCCCGTGGTTTCGAGCCCGGGAATGGGTCGAGGGGCCGTCCTGAAGATCGAGCTCGGCATTGAAAATGACGTCATGGTTGCGGCCCCCACACTTGCCCCGAAGGATAGTGGTGAGGACGGCACAGCCATGGCAACCGAAGAGGTTTCCACTGGAATTTCGCAACTTATTCTGTTGTCGGAAGAACCCACGATGCCGAATCCAAACTCCATCAATACTACCTTAAGATTGTTGAATAATACAGCGGGAAAATAATATTAAAATAATCTGAACTTATAAAACGTTCGGATTTTACAACAAAAATAAAAGAAAATTAAACTTGGAGTCTTTGGATGCTCGAACGGATGCAGGAACACGAATAGACGGGCGCTTGAACGGCTAACAAAGACGTCGGATGAAGAGAGGAAGAACACCGGAGTAGTTTCTGGAAAGAAGGGCAAGGAAAGCGGAGTCGCCGAAGCTTTCCTTAAGGTAGTATTACCCGCCTCCCGCACAGGCAAACGTGGGCAATCTCCTCCCAAGATAAAACCGCTTCGTGCAAGGCCTAGGGCGGTAGCACCGTGCACCAACGAACGAGAACGACGGAAGACACTGCCGGAGAAGATGATCGGAAATGGGAATAGCCGGAAATATTTTAATAACGCACAAAGAATGTTTTTCGAGTGTATCTTCCTCCTGCAGCAATGCCCTCCTTTTATAGGAGGGAAGTTTGCTTTTCGCTATTATTTTGGAAAATAATTTTGTGGACCCTACCAAATTTATGTCCAAAAATGTCCAATTTACTTTAAAATTTCCAACAATGAGATACTTATGTACGATGAATAAATATCAGCACAATATAATACGATAGGATAATGGAAGTTGTGACACCTAAAAGAGGAGGTTTCTTTTTTATGTATGGTTACAGTGGAACTGAAACTTTTTTTTATGGAAATCAAAGTTTATTTCTCTAATGTCAAATGATAAGATTGTCTTGAATGTCACATCCAGTGGTATTGCATCATTACTTTTTCATGGGGGAAGGACATCTGGGTGAATGACATTACACTTGAGATTCTCAATCTCTTAAGGCGATTACATAACGTGTGCCATCAAACAAGAGAGTTCGAAAGCAGAATTAATCCAACAAGTAAGTCTAATAATATGGGATGAAGCATGTATGATGAATTAATTTATTTTTAAGGTGCTGGATCACAAAATGAGAGATGTACTGAATTTCTCTAATAAAATTGTGAGTGCTATATATCATCTATTCTTTAAATTTATGGTCGTATTTTAAAATTTATATGTTAGCGAAGAATATGATATTACATTGTTTTACGTCCTCTATCCCAGATAGGGACACACAAATTTTTTCTGATTGGATAATTAAAGTTACAGATGAAAAACTTAGACAAGTGATTGATGAAACAACTGACCTTAAAATTCCACATAAATTATTAATTCTAGACACAAGTTATTTTGTGAAGAGTATAATGGACTCCACTTATCCTAATTGAACCTATTGGAGAGTATGAAAGTTTATTCATTTTTTAGGATAGGGCACTAATGGACCATGATTGAGTTTGTAGAAATGGTAAATGAATTTGTCATATTCATCACTCCCTAATATGAAATGGTTTGCCTGAGTTTTGATTCTTCATGTTAGGCTGATTCAGATGTAATTATTGATGACAATTAAATTACAATTAAATTTTAAATGAAATCAAATGTTCAGGGATCCGAAACTACAATATAATCTTAAAAATAGGTTAACGATTTTGATATTGAGAAACATTGACCAAATATATGGATTATGTGATGGTATACGATTAATCCTTGAAGAGCTGTGAAAGAATGTTGTTGGTCTATTGTGGTTTTGATAAATTGAGTCAGCAAAAAGTTTACATACTCCAAATGAAATTGATACAATATGATCCAGGACTACTTTTGAAGTTATTCATAAGGCAAATATCAAAAGTCTTATATTTTGTTATGAATATCAACAAAAGTCAAAGTTAAATATTGTCATTTCTTGCATTACTTTTAACCAAATTGGTATTCACTCATGGTCAGCTTTATGTTATGGTTCCATGAATAAAAACAAAAAAATTAAAAATATTGGTCCTAGATGACAATGATACCCTTGCAATTATATCAAAAAATCTATATACCCTAGAGTCTTTCAAAAAGTTTGGTATTAAAAAAAACTTGGTTGAATTTTACACATTCAATTCCTCAAATATTGTTTATTCTACTTTGGAATTTTTGTATATTGTACTAAAAATCATAGGTAAATATATTTTCTTTATTCTGGGAAAAATATTGTATTAAAAAATTTTAGAACCAATAAAAATTTTGTTTGACCCCGTGTGTTGCATGGGTAAAAATACTAGTTTGTCAAAAGTGACACTACAACTCCACCACATGTCACGCCTAAAGTCCACCAAATACCGTATTCATGTACTTCGGAGTTTGCTTTTTATATTAAGAAATTTACCTAGCTGGGACATAAACATAATAACTTTTCCAATATAGGATCATATGTTTTTATTTTCCAATATAGGACTTTTGATCATTGTTAATTAGTCATTATTCAAGTAAATATTCATCATTACTGAACATTATTCCTCCCACTAGACCTTATTAAGTCATATTTAGAGAATAAAAAATTTTCATACGTTTAATTTGAGCATCCATTTTAAATGAATATTATCTATATCCGATTAAGAACATTCGTTTATTAAACGGATACAAATTTGGTAAGTGTATATCCAATCCAACTAAAGTCTGATTTAGATATACATCCGTTTAAATAACCATTTATCTGAATATCCATTTATCGGAATACCAAATTAAAATCATTTTAATATATATAACCCTCCACCGAGTCCGTTTTACTTCCCTGTATATTCAAAAATATACTTTGCCCTTTAAGTCTCTAACTTTAGAGGGTGTTTGAGGATGATTAGCTTATGGATAAAATAATTTCTACAAAAGCTGAAAACAAAAGTACCTCATACTTGTCTCTCCGAATTGGTGTTCCATGTACTACAAAATAATGTTCATGAAAAGCATAAGCTGACATGCCAAACAGAATAAAATCACTTCCACGCATCTAGTCAGCCACTCTCCGTCGATCGATGATGATTTATGTAAACTATAGTTATTTTTTAGACCAAGGCTAACATATAGAGAGGAATTATTAAACCAAACCATAAAAAGTAAAAATTATCTTCCCATGAAAACCATTATCCAATGTTGGGGAAATTAACGATAACTTAGATGAATCGAGAGTTGTGTAAACACTTTCAGATTGAATATTTTGGTTGTTCACTCCAAAATTCAATCGGATAAAACTCGAAAGTATCAAGAACGAAATATGAGAATTGCTATGAAAAAATCCGAACAGAATTCGACCATGGCCTGCGAGAATTTATAAAATTTGCGGCAGAGGGAGAAGATGCTTATCGCGTCTCTTTCCCAAGTTACGCGATCCTTCGCGCGGAAGTTCTTCAAATTTGGTGCTATCCAATCGGAAGTTTTCTCTTAAAGGAGTTTCGAAAATTAAAATTTCAATTGAATTTTATAACATAACACCGACCCCAGCCAGGGGCTCTGCCCCTTGGACCCCGCAGGGGCTGCCGCCCCTTGAACCCTGCTCGGGGGCGCTGCCCCCGAACCCCCGCCCAGGGAGCGCTGCCCCCTTGAAACCCCTAGTGTAACAGGTTTTTTTTATCGTAACAAACTCAATGAACTGTGCACTCCGCACCACCAAACTTTTTTGATGATTATTAGGATATTATTGGTCGTAGGTTTTCCAAATAAACTAAAATATATAACATCCAACATATATATAACATATGTATAAAGTTCATCCACTGGAATCATTGACCGGATAAAATGATAGGGAAGCAGTTTTAAAAAACAGAATTCTTAGATAAGTTGGGTGATTTCGGTCTTTTTTTTCTCTGTTTTAAAAATTACAGCAACAATATGCATTCCTTTTTTATTTTTATTCTTTCATCTAGCAATGCATTTTATACACTGTGTATTTAACTTTTTTGTAGACAAATAGGGGAACAAACTCAACAAAGCATCAATTATGATTTATATTTTTGTTCGAATAATTTGTTTTGGTTAAAGATATACTATGTACTAATTACAGGGTAGTTTTTTACGTGTTGTTATTCAGTATTATGGACTCCGATATTCACTTTCACATTTTTTTATAACCATTTGAATTTTTTATTAACAGTTTCAGATATTTAGTCAGTTTTCGAATATATAATTGTATCTGGATATATCTGAAACTAGAAATTATCTGTTGGTTTCTGATGGTGTAAATTACTTGACTGGTCAAACTATACTAGACCGGGTCTAGAATAGTTTGCTTGATTTGGCAAAGTAAGAAAGGTAAAAACACGCAGATTGACCGGTAGGACTTTAGGTGGAACACCTGTAGCCCAATTTATATTATAACGGAGAATGCACAGGTGCTTTTACAAGGGAATTTAGAGAGAATGAATTTGGATCCCTCTTTTTGAGGTTGACATGAGTATTTATACTAGGCTTAAGGGGACAGGACCACGTGCACCCACGTGGGGGCATGCTGCTGATGTGGTGCGAGGTGACTGGTTTCGTCCTTGAGCTGCCTTGTCGCCTTGTGAGGGGAATTATTCCCTTTGTCGAGTAGTGCCTTGGATGGATTCTTCAGTATCTCCAGTTGTCCTTTACTGACATGGGTCGTTACACGCCAAGCCCTTGTAGATTCTCTTCTGCCGACACTTTCCAACCTTAGAAACTACACCGGGTAATCTTCGAGGGATGAATTCATCGAAGTCTGGAATAAATAGGGCGATAACGTAGTTTGACCGGTATACTTTATTGTGAAGTATACCGGTCATCTTTTGGCTGACGATACATCGTTTGCTGACGATTCAAGCCTCCCTTCCAAAACTTTCGAGATTGACCGGTCAACGATTTGGCCTTCTCCTTTGACCGGTCGTGGGTGGAATACACCCATCAATAAGCCCTCCACTTCTCGGTCATGCAATTTGTCATGAGCGGGAAGTAAAAAGTCTGAAATAGGACTCCAATTTCGAAATTTTTGCCCTTCCCGCCTAAAATTTTTGAAATTTGAATTTCAAACTCTGACTTTTACCACGTGTTGCGCATCAACCGTTGCAATCAGTCGGCTGCAGACCTGTCGTTTCGCCTGCCAGTGGGTCATCATTGCGCCGCGTGATGCGGCGCAACCTGGAGAGGCCACGTCAATTCTTTCAGCCCTCCTCTTCCTATATAAGGGCCTCCACCCCTCCTCTCTGCTCACTTTTCGCACTTCGCCTCCTTGAGCTTTCACCGGTCAAATTCGTCTCTCTCGCTATCCAGCCCTCCGAGCCAAGTAAGTTTCCCCTTCCTTCTCTACTTTCCCGGTCATGTCTTCTCTTAGCGATAGGATCTCTTCCTCAGAGGACTGCTCCTATGAGGACTCCAACTCCTCTTCTTCGACCGGGTCTTCTTCTCTTGACTCCACGCCCGGTCAGGTTCCCAACTCCTCCATTCCCGACCCGCATCCTGTAAATCAGACGCCCGGTGAAACTTTCGTGGGGAGGGATGACCCGGTTGATGACGAACCGGGTCCCTATGATCCTAAACACGAAACCCGGGATGCGTGGGAGGAGCGGCTTCATGCTGCCGGTTACTTTCCACTCCCCACCTTCTACGTCCTTGACATCCCTTCCCGCGTATCCAAAATCGCCTTGAACAAAATTCGTAGGAGGCTCTCAAATGGGTATACCCTCCTCTACGAACCTAACTGGCCCAATATCGTTGAACCCCACCGGGAGGATAGGATAGGGTTCCATAGTATTTCCCTGGATGCGGGCATAGTTTTTCCCCTTCGCCCCCTCCTTACTGAAGTTTGCCATGCGTTTAGGATTTTGCCCGGCCAAATAACTCCTAACGCCCACTGGTACCTTCATTCCTTCGTAAATATTTGCACTCATATGAAAATTTTCCCCTCTCTGCGTCATTTCCTTTTCTGCTTCGAAGTCCTACCGGGCGGATCCGGCTGTGAAGGTTTTGTATTCTTCAAAGCCCGTACCGGTAGGAAGTTAATTTCCGAAGTCCCCCAGAGTAACCGGGGATGGAAGGAAAAATTTGTTTTCATCGAGTTCCCCCCTTTGTCACCCCTTTCGCCGGTCTGAAATGGAACGACCACCTCCTTGACCAAGAGTACGCTGCACCGGCTTCCTCCCCCGACTTGGAGGCGAGTCTTGAAGTCCTCATGCGTGGCGATCCATACACCGGGAGGGTCTTCCACTACGGCAGCTGGGTCTGGAGGGTCGAGTCGGGTAGTGAGGGTACCTCCCAGGCCCATGAAGCAGCGGGGCGCGGGGTACCCTCCCCGGGCAACACTGCGGAGGCTGAGGGCAACTCTCACCCAGGTACTTTTCATTTTTCTCGTGATTCATAGTTGACCGGTCGAACTACTTGTACTTAACGATTTCAGCTTCTCTTGCAGATATGAAGTTTGAGGAGTTCGCCATCCCTGACGACCAACTAGCCGGGGAGACCGGGGGCTCCCAAGCCAATCCTGCCAGGACTTTCCCGGTCAATCCAGAGACCGTGGAAATCCTGGATGAAGATGAGCCCCAAGACAACCGGTCTAAGGGGAAAGAAAAAGAAAAGGCCGGTCGTCGGGTGAAGAAGGTGGCCACCACGCACCCTTCTTACGCCAAGAAGAGGGCTAGGCCGGATTCTGAGCCGGCCGGTCAGACCATCGAAGAAGCCTTCATCAATCTGGGGCTGAGGCTGAAGGAGGTAAGTCTTGATGTTATCCCGGTCTTTATTTGTTTTTTTTATCGAGAAACATACCGGTCTGTTTCGTTTTTGTGCAGGCGGGGGAGATTGGGCCGCATACAGCAGACCGGTTGGGGATGAGTTCCCCTTCCGAAGTCGACCGGCTGAAGAGGGAGAAAGAAGAGATGACCCTCATCTTGAAGAGCCAGGCTGATGAGCTGATCAGGCTGTCTGGGCTAGCCGGGGCCATGAAGACCGAGATCTCCCTGCTGAAGGAGAAGAATGGTCGGCTTATGGATGAAGCCTCTAAGGCCAAGAGGGAAGCAACGGAGAAGGAAAAGACCTTCCCCGGGCGCGCAGTCGCCTGGGTTGAAGAGAACAAGGCCGTTGCTGCCCGGGTGATGACGGAGACGCCGGAGACCGCGATGGAGTCCTTCAGGCTTCTGTACCGGGAGCCTGAAGGAAGGAGAATGATTACCGCGATTGGATCCTTCGTATTCAAAAGCAGACAAAAGAAAGACCAGATCGCCTCTCACCGGGTACTGCTCAGAAGAGACCCGAGCTTCAGCGCGGCATCCTACGGCCTGGCTCCAATCCCAGAAGAAGAGCCTACTCCCCCTTTCCCCCTAGATTAAGAACTCCCCGGCCTTGACCAGTTGTTTTGTAAACTTCTCAACTTGAAATTTCCTCGGGGATGCCCGGTGTAGCTGTAAACACTTAACATTTTTATTTCATTTGAATGCCATGTTTGTTTTCCTACCTGGTTAATCTTCCATATCTGCTTGCTTGTTGATCTATACTTTGATCTTGCTCCTTAGAATACCATCATAGAAATTCTGACCGGTACGTAGATCCACCATTACTGCGTTCGACCGGTACAACTTCAAAGTTCTCTCTGGTCACTTCATTTCAAGGATCAGCCTGAGAAACTTTGACCGGTTAAACTTCAATTTTTACTTTTCGAACGTCTTCATCATTTTGGCCGGCCGAACTTTACTTTTGCCCTTTGGATAGCTTCACAAATTCTTTTGGTAAAGTTTACTTTGACCGGTGAATTCCCACTCCATGGTTTGACCGGTCAACTGCCTTGCCTTTCGATGGATGTAGAACTTTCGAAGTTCTGTTGTGCCCATACTCGACCGGGGTATTCTTTTTTTTATCGGTAGGTTGTAGATGGAAACACCTGTAACCTAGTAATTCTTGAAGTATCCTTAACCGGTAAGAATACTGGAGATTTAACCATGTCGAATGGTTTCGAACCCTCTCCAAGGTTCAAATGCACCCTTCTTCCAGGGCCCCCTCTTCCGGGTGATTAAGTCTTTTGATGGCCCTTTGATTTCTACCATCCCGAAAAGGCCTTAGCTGACCCCCCGTTCAAGTCTTCCCTGAGAAGGGCGAAATAGGATGCGCCGCGGTGGACGATCCCCTTCTATTTCTTTTAATGGGCATCTTTTAGTCCCCAATCAATTTGACGGCGCCGGCTCATTCCCTGACACCAGTCAAACCTCATGGGCCCGTGTAAGTACGGTTCGAACCCTCTTCCAGGTCCAGCCCTCTTACAGGCATACCCTCTTCCGGGCCCCTCTTCCGGGTTTTAATATTTTTTTTATTATACTGAGCAAGACCGGTGTAGTAACCAGCGTGCCAGGTCCAGGCCTGTGTCTCAGTTGGCTTACCCAAGTGGATTCGATCCGCCCAGGAAGCCCTCCTTGGATAGGTTCGACCTATCAATTCCGCCGTTACCGAGTAGAGTATCGAACATTACTTTGATTGATAATGTGGTTAGGCCTCGCCTAGTATTACAATCATTTGTAGAACTTGCGAAGATGGTGGGAATTCCAAGTTCTTTCTATCGGTACACCATCTAAAGTTTCTAACCGATACGTGTTAGAATAAAGGCCCAACGCTAGAGGGGGGGTGAATAGCGTTTAAAACAAAATCGCAGGAAATTAAAACGAGAGCGTTAAAGTAAAGAGCGTAAAAAAGGAGCACACCGGATTTTATCCTGGCTCACCACAACGTGTGGCTAATCCAGCCCCCCGAGAGACTCTCTCGAGCTACACTAACTCTGTTAAGCTTAAGGGTGCTTAACAAACCGATACAACTTGAGAACTCGAGTCACACGAGCCTCAACACCTTTGCTCGGAGATACCGCACTCCAAGACTTCTCACGAAGGAACAAGAAACTTCCTTCGAGGTTACAACAAGGGAACAAACTCCCTTAAAGTGTATGAAAACACNATGATTTTGACTCTTTGAGAACCGAGACTTGAATTGATTATCGGTTTTGATCACAAAAGACCGACTCGACTAAGTCTTCAATTCTTGATCTTGTCCTTGAGTCTTTTGGGTCTTGTTCCAAGCCATTCTTCACTCGAAAACTCTTCATATCCACGGCGGTTTGGCATTTATCAAAACCTGTCAGAAATGAACACGACTTTAGTTTAACGTGCAAAGTGTATTCCAACAATTTCCCCATTTTTGATAATGGCAAACAAGACGGGGATATGCATAGGATTTTGATTTTTTGAAACAAAATTCCCCCTTAATAAAATTCCCCCTTAAAATATGCATAGCCCTTATCTTCCCCCTTTTGACATTACCAAAAAGATCGTTAACAACAAAAATCCTAAAGATTTTTATTTATTAATTAAGGAAAGAGGTGGAGTACAAGGCGAAAGCAAAAAAAAAATTTATAAAACAAAGAAGAGTAGAAAGTAGAGCTAGAGCTCTAGAAATCCGGAGAAAGATCATTGAGAAGTTGTTCTTCATCAATGTCTTCTTCTTCTTCATCATCGCCATCGTCATCATCATCATCATCATCATCATCATCATCTTCTTCTTCTTCTTCTTCTTCTTCGTCGTCTTCTTCTTCTTCTTCCACCTCGTCATCTCTACCAACGCTTTGCGTCCCACTTTGTTCACCTCCGAAGTTCGGTGGAGGAAAGTAAGGGACCATTTGAGCGTACGGGTAATTGACAAAGTCAAAATACCCATGAAGTTCACGGCTCAAAGTATTGACGTTGTGCGCCGTTTTGGAGACGTTGGTGTCAATCCGAGAGAGAGTGGCGGTTAAGGCTGCCATTTGCTCGGCGAGAGAAGGGTTGGATGATGTGGTGGCGGCTGAGGCAGTGGCTCTCGGTTGGCGGCGTGGACGAGGCTGTCGAAACGGAGTCTCGTCGGTGCCCGAATGGAAGGAAGATTCATCAATCTCCCAATGCTTCGTCCCCTTTACCTTTGGCCCAACATCGGTTTTGATGTTGTATTCTTCAAGAATAGCCATGACGAGGAGGGCATAGGGGAGCGGCCGATTGTCGGAGGTGGCCGTGATCATGTGAGTCATCACAAATTTACACCAATTGAGATTGGCGTTGTGAATCATCGCATGGATCCTCTTCGTGTCTTCTTGGGAGAGATTGGTGTGGTTGAACTTCCTTGGCTTGAGGATTCGTGTCAACACATAGAAGATGAAGCGATACACGGGACTCATTGAAGAAATCGTAGGGCGCCGCTGGTGGGGAGTGGGTACGAAGTGACGGATGCCCACTTCCTCCAAGAGAGCGGTCTCATTGAACCGCGCCCCCTCTTCTCCGGTGTAGAGCCCGAGATCCTGTCCGTCCCGACGAAGCCCGGTGAGGATTTGAATGTTCTCTTCATTCAAATAAATGTCCACCCCGTTGACGTTTGAAATCAACGATCCATCCTCATCCTTTTTCAAGTTCGAATAGAAAGCTCGAACAAGAAAAGGTTGATAATTAACCTTCTTTATGTAGAGGAGATCGAGGAAGTTTCCACGTTCAAGGATAACCCGTGCCTCACGTGGAATGGAGTCATGAATGAAGCGGGCGGTGGAGAATCTGGGAGGGAGAATTTCCCGATGCTCAAACTTCTCCGAGAATCGTGTTGCCTCTGCGTGGTCGTTGAACCAAAGGAACGACCCGTCAAGATATTTGTGCGTTGATGGTGGAGGAGCCGAAGAGGAAGCAACGTTCTTGCCGGTGCGGGAACACTTTCTTTGACCTCCAGCCATTTCAACAAAGAGAGAGGGATTGCAGAAATTTTTGAAGAGAAAAATGAAGAATGGAGCAAAAATGATGAATTATGATGAATATATGTAGAAGAGATGTTTGGAATGAGTAAAAATGAAGTAGATATCACCAATATATAGTGGAAGAGGTGTAGAGATCCGTTTGGATGGTCAAACAAGGCATTAACTGCTCTCCAATGTCTTTGCAACGGTCATATTTTTGAAAAATTTCCGTTGACAATCGATTGTCATGACCTGTCAATCGATTATCAGATGCCTCAGATTCTCCGCTGATGGTCCTGCAGTCTTTAATAGTCGATTATCATGTTTGGTAAATCGATTGTTTTGCGCCTTACTTAAAAAAAACGTTCTGCAGCTCCATATAATCGATTATCATTACTTGGATAATCGATTGTTACTTCTTTGTGCCTAACTTTGAGAAAGTTCTGCAGCCCCTGATAATCGATTATCTTAATGGTGATAATTGATTGTTGGCTCCTTCAGTTTCTTTGCTCCAACTCCTGCAGGCTGTGATAGTTGATTTTCACAAGTTTGTAAATCGATTTACACTCAGTCCTGGGAACTAGAAATTGATTTCTTTTGTCCCCCCTGGCTTTAACACTTACAATGAAAATATTTTGGTACCCGTTTGATCTTTTGGGTCCTTGAGGATTAGTAACACGACTTTTTAAACTAGTAAACACACACACCAATAATCACATACACATGGTACGCAAACACACACACACACATGTACCAACATGTGTGTTTAAGTGTTACCTTGGCCAACTCGTCCTTTTGCGGTTGGCGGGTTCCAGTCTACTCGAACCGAATGTCTATACCTCGGTTTGATTTGTGTGGGTTCCGGAAGTGGTATGTGAATCTTCTTCTTTTCATCATAATAGAAGAAGTAATATGGTTTCTTTTGCGTTGATTCCTGCAGGGATTGGTTAGAGTTCGAATATCCTTTTTGAAAGGATTTCATTCGGTTAGTTCCATGCAAAGTGTGTGTTTTGTTATACGTGTAATGCCTATGCCTACTAAAACACACGGGTGTTATATGACCTACCCTATTGNCACACATGTACCAACATGTGTGTTTAAGTGTTACCTTGGCCAACTCGTCCTTTTGCGGTTGGCGGGTTCCAGTCTACTCGAACCGAATGTCTATACCTCGGTTTGATTTGTGTGGGTTCCGGAAGTGGTATGTGAATCTTCTTCTTTTCATCATAATAGAAGAAGTAATATGGTTTCTTTTGCGTTGATTCCTGCAGGGATTGGTTAGAGTTCGAATATCCTTTTTGAAAGGATTTCATTCGGTTAGTTCCATGCAAAGTGTGTGTTTTGTTATACGTGTAATGCCTATGCCTACTAAAACACACGGGTGTTATATGACCTACCCTATTGCAATAATGACAAACAACATTTGGATTATGCATTCTCCTAGGTTGATAATAGTTGCTAGGTTTTCTAATTTGATCATTGTTTATCCTAGTGTTCTTTCTAGGTAGTCTAGTGTTCCTAATTGTTCTAGGTTGTCTAATTTCTTGATTTTCATTTTTCCTAAGTTGAGATTTCGGTTTCCTAGATGGTTGCTCAACTTTTTCCTTATTATTAGGTTCATTTTCAAATCCTAGGCCATGTTTAGTAAGTTGCAAATTATCAAGAACATCATTAAGGTTTTTATGAGAAACACCAAACTTCTTCAAAGTTCCTTCAAGTTTTGCAACTTGATCCTTAAGTGATATACAAGAACTACATTTTGAATTTTCTGGTTTGTCGGCGCTTCTTTTTCCGAAAAATTTATTTTCTTCTTTTAGTTTTTCATTATCTTTTGATAGTTTATCAACTTCCTTCTCCATGAAAGTAAGTTGTTTCTTCAAATCCTTGTTAATTTTAGAAGCATTGACATATTCATCAAAAAGTTCATTAAAGGCTTCTTGTACATCATCAAAAGTATAGGAATCTTTAGAAGTGGTACATACCTCTTCCGGTGGTTCCTCGTGTGCCATGAGACAAAGGTTGGCACTTTCATTTTCTTCGCCTTCTGATGATTCGTCGCCGGAATCACCTCCCCATGAGATGTAGGCTCGGTGCTTCTTGAACATTTTATTCTTGTTCTTGGCATTTGGACATTTTAGTTTTATATGCCCAACTTCTCCACACCCATAGCATTTGGGTGGGTTTCCTTGCTTCTTTCCTTTCCGTTCATACTCTTGGCTCATAAACTTGTGGAATTTCTTGAGTACGATTCCGAACTCGTCTTCGTCACTCGAGTCTTCCATAGCACGTTCTTGACTTGTAGATGCTTTGAGAGCAATTCCATTCTTCTTTTGTTCACCTAGAGAGGGATACAGAATGGTGGACTCATAGGTTCTTGAATGGCATCGGCTTTGGAGCGCCACTCCGGTGTGAGACTTCGCAGAATTTTTCTCACAAGCTCTTTGTCTGTGTACGTCTTCTTGAGAGCATGGAGATCATTAACGATATTGGAGAATCGTTCAAACATCTCATCGATTTTTTCATTCTCCTTCATACGAAATAATTCATATTCATGGGTTAGAAAATCTATCTTAGCTTCTCGGACTTGATTCGTACCTTCATATGTGATTTCGAGCTTGTCCCACATTTCCTTGGCGGTGGAACAACAAGAGATCTTCCGGTAGTCATCCGGATTTACTGCACAATAAAGAATGTTGATCGCCTTGGCGTTGTTCTCTATTTTCTTGATATCCTGCGCATCGTATTCTTCTTCGGTTTTGGGAACGGTGGTTTCCCCAACTTTCTTCATGGGCACTTCTTCCCCATTCCTGATAATTCTCCATAGGAGAAAGTTGTTTGATTGGATGAAAATTCTCATTCGCTCCTTCCAATATGTGTAATTCGTTCCATCAAATAATGGAGGCCTTGTGGTGGATTGCCCTTCTCCTAAACCTGCGTATAAGTTTTGAGTAGAAGCCATTGATCGTTTCTCTCAAACGGTTAAGTCTTACAGAGAGTATGGCTCTGATACCAATTGTTAGAATAAAGGCCCAACGCTAGAGGGGGGGTGAATAGCGTTTAAAACAAAATCGCAGGAAATTAAAACGAGAGCGTTAAAGTAAAGAGCGTAAAGAAGGAACACACCAGATTTTATCCTGGTTCACCACAACGTGTGGCTAATCCAGCCCCCCGAGAGACTCTCTCGAGCTACACTAACTCTGTTAAGCTTAAGGGTGCTTAACAAACCGATACAACTTGAGAACTCGAGTCACACGAGCCTCAACACCTTTGCTCGGAGATACCGCACTCCAAGACTTCTCACGAAGGAACAAGAAACTTCCTTCGAGGTTACAACAAGGGAACAAACTCCCTTAAAGTGTATGAAAACAC